TTTGCATATACCAAATTCTAATTACAATATAATTAATATACTGTATTTTAATTTTTTTATTAAATAAACTAAAATTTTATTATATATAACTAAAATTTATAATAAATTATAATAGAATATATAAATGAATATTTATATATTAAACGAGAATGACTATTTTGTGTAAAAATATTTATAAAAATTATTCGTTGATGGGAGTCATTTTAAGAATTTTTTTAACTTCATATCAAATTTTATTTTTTATTTATCATATTTATATTATGGGTTAAATTTTTTTTAAAAAAAATTATTAACAATTATAAATAATTTTATGTTGCAATATAAACTATTTATCTTAAATAAAAATATAATTTATATGTTTAAAAATATTCATTTATATAAATTTTAAATAAAGTTATACATTCAAATATAATATTTATTTGTATGTATAATTTATTATAAAATTTATTTATATATAATAAATATTTAACCTATATTACTACTAGTTGACACAGGTCATAGTTACTTTATCTCTTAATCAAGTTGTACAAATTTTAAATCCTAATCTTGGATATGGAACAATGTATGTGAAGAAGGGAATATCAATTTTGTGTATGCTTATGATCTCTTATAAAAAGTAGGTAATACTTCCAACAACATATACTTCATACGTTGATGAAAACACATTTATTTTATGGAATGCATTAGCTAAAATACTAGTTATATTTTAAATTTGTATAAATAAATATTTAAAAAAATAAATTATATTTTATATTTATGATAAATAATTTATATTATAATACATGATTATTTTTAATTATTGATACTTTAGTTAAAAATATTTAAATTAAATTCATAAATAAATATGATAAATAAAAATTAAATCAGATAAAAAGTTATAAAAATCTTTACAAATCTTTTCGTTGAAGTAAAATGCCTATATACTCCCATCAATGTAATAAATAAATATTTTTTTTCATAAATTTATATTTTTATTTTGTGATTATAATTTATATTGTAATTTTATTTAATTACTAATAGTTTCTTTGAAAAATATTAAAATTTAATTTAAAAATAAATATTAAAATGATAAATTACAAAAGATAGAAATTTAATATATTTTTTTAAAAAAAAACCTCATCATTATATAATAAACATTTTTAAACACATAAAATATATGGAAAACATTTAAACAGTTTTTAAAATTTAGATTATTGATAATGGAATTATTAGTTAGTATATAAAATATGTTTTCATCAAAAACAGCTATCGAATGAACATTGCATCATCATACATCATGGCATCATCTCATTAAGATGTTTTTAAGTTCTGAAAAAAAAAGTTAATTTTAAATGAAACAACATAATGTATTTTATTTTTATTGTATTTCCTATAAGTATTTATATTAATTTAATTTATTTAATTTAACTTTTATATGAAGATTTATTAAGAAATTGATTAAATGTGTGGTTTTGTGAATTGTAGAGTTGATAGAATGCAACTAGAACTAATTGTTGCGTCACTTACTATGTCACTATTAAGGTTAGAACTAAAGTGATAGCAACACACGTTGCTCATATACTCAATTCGTACTTGCATTCGATTCAACACTTACACTGTTGCCTCATTATGGTGTTCATACTCCTTTGTCAACTCTTCAATTTTCATTTGCATGTCTCTTTTATTAGTCAAACACTAAAGATCATTAAACTTGAATTTTTTTCAACCAACAAAATTTTATTTATACGCAACACATAAAATCAAATTATTACTTAAACAAATCGTGTTCCTTTAATTAAATTCATGATACATTGTATGCATGGTTAATTTTGATTTGTTCTTCGTATTTCTTAAAAATAAGAAGAAACCTAATTAAATTAGATGCATTGAAAATTTGTTGTTAAACACGCTATGCCTATTTGCTTTTCAAGATATGTTATGTACGGCACTAGAATCAGACAAAGCATTGTGGTGCAAGTTGGGTACAAAATTAAGATAAGGTTGCCATGCTTGCCTATCGCTTTTCAAATTTAATGCCACAAAATAGACTTGCAACTAAATCCTTCAATTTGCATGTTCACCCACATTCTCCAATCTCTAATCTCTATTTACTTGCAAGTACTTTTTTGTTCACACTATGATGTTTAATTTATTTATTTTTCAATTAGAAACTATGCGTGCTCTTATAATAGTGTGTTAAAACAATGGATATTTTATTAACAAAAGGCATATCATGTACAAAATCACGATATAAGTTAATTTTGATTATATAATCCAAAGATATGGTTAAGATTAAATTTAACCAGACTAATCTTAATAAATTAATATATACTCGTGCTACTATTCTACACATATGTAATATAATCAATAAAGATATTGACTTTTTACCACAACAACTTGGCTATTTAAAGAAAGAGAAAGAATAAATAAATTTTTTTAATCTTTTTACTTCTTATAATTTCATTTATTTAACTGTTTAGTTTATATAATTTAAAACAAATATTTTTAATTCATATATTTATCTTTTTTAATATATTTTAGTCTATATTATAATTTTTAATCTCTATCATTAATTATTCTTGTAATGTAATAGATAAATTAATTCAACTTTGTATGTTGTATGCTAAATTTATTTTTGTTAAAATTAATCTAAATTAGATCTCTTAACATTTCATTTTTTTTTATCTTTACTTACGATACTCATTGTTGAAATATTTTTTTTTATCTTCACAAAATTGAAGATCTCACAAAAAAAGATAATGTTATAAAAAAATAATCACAAAAAATTTTAAAAAAATTGAAAGTATAAAAACTAAAAATTTAAACTATAGAAACTAAAAATGATTGAAAAAGATAAATATAGAAATTAAAAAATATATTTTAAACTACTAAAAAATAAAATAAAATAATATAAAAAATATTTTAACAATTGCATGATTACGTAATAATTATTCTTTAAAAGAAAGAAGTGGGTTTTTATTTACGAGAAAAGGTGTGTTAGAGCATCTACAATGGAGGTTGCTTATAAGCAACCCCATTATAAATGCTCTTAGACTCCTTAAAAGCTAATGGGAGTAAAATAGCAAATCCCGTTTTTAATTAACTAAAGACTAAGGATCACTTAATTTACACGGTAATTTGCAATTAAATTAATTTAAAAAACAGTAATGAATACCACCGAACATATGAATCAATTAACACATACTTAAATCAATTATCTCAAATTCAAGTCTTAATTATACAATTATATTAAATATTTTAAAAAACCTTATCATTCATAATAGTCATATCACTCAAATAAAATTGTTTATATGTTGTCTTTATTAAAAAAAAAAAAAAAAAAAAAAAAAAAAAAAAAGAGTCAAGGATCCAAGAAGCCATGATGCACTGGCAAAAGAAAACGTCATGTCATTACTTTTGCGATGGATTTTTTCTCTGAACGTTGACTTGGCATCTATGCGAGAAAAGAAGTTAATTCAACACTGCACTTTGAATGGAAGCAGAAATTCTCCGTCTGAACTTCCTTTTAATTTTAATCAGTTTATCTCTAAACCAAGAAAAAAAAAGATGTATTTCAGGGTGTATTCTTTCTTGGCAAATTCGAATAAATTATCATTCTAATCTTTAAAAACATATAAAATTATTACGTCAGTATGTGAAATTAAGGAAATTTTAAATAAATATCTAAATATATAACCTGTCAAATATATTAGTCTAAAACTAAATAAAAAAATTCAATTTAAGTAATAACATTAATATACTAAAATTTCAAAATAATAATAAATGATTAAACTTTAAAAAAATTACATAAAATAATTTAAAAAAATATATCTAATAAATAAACTTTCATAATATAAGAATCCAACCCCCGAACACGTGTTGGTACTCCAGGTCAGTGTTACTTCTGACAATAACAGATATCTAGATTTTTCGATACCATCTTCAAATTGGACGAGGACACAATCCCACTTTAAATAGCTCGAGTGTGTAAGACAAATAAATATTTATATTAAATTTATAGTTTATATCTTTTAGTTCTGATTCTTTTATTATTAAAATATTTAATTTTGTCTTTTAATTTTTTTTATAAAAATTATGTAATGAGCTTTCCAACAACTCAGGAAAATGACATTAGCTATTTATACAAGTTACAAGCACATGCTATTGTTCAGCGTCATGTGTACATACAATTAACACAGCTCTCGATACAATTCAATAGAAAGAACATCATTGAATCTTTTCTAATTTTTTTTACAGACCTTTCTAAAAAGTTAAAGATCTAAATTGAACATTTTACTAATAAAAGGGCCAAATTAAGTCAATTAAACAAAAGAGAGAAAAATATGATTTAACTTGACTATAACAAAAGGTACAACTTTAAAGCACCAAAAATATCTTTCACACACACATGGATATCAAGATATTATTGCACTTACCAAAAAAATATTTTGAACGGAAAGTATAACTACAAGAATACTTTGAATGTATTAGACTTTTATTTGAAAAAAAATTCTAATTCTTAAAATACAGTTGAACAAAGTTGAAATATGATTCAAGACATGGAGTAAAGTGTAGTATTAAAGAAGAAATTGAAGAAGATGAAAAACAGAAAAGAAAAGCACATCTCCTAATTATTTTTGTTTTTAACACTTGTTTAAAAATAATTTTCAAAACTTAAAAATTTTGGATAAGAAAATGATAAATGAGTAGTTAAAATTCTTTAACAAAACAGTTTTTAAAATAACAAAATGGAAAGAGAATCCAACAATACCTTATATTGTTTTCAATATTTGCTAATTATATACCGAGTGAAGACACTGGTACCGTACTAGTATACTGATAAATAAAAAAAATGCTAACTATATATCAGACACCAACCATAATTTTCTGTTCATGGTATAATGAATAATTCCATCAAAATCTACAAGCAAATCAAACATACAGCTCCCTTTAAAAGGTAAAGAACTAACAATTGCTAACTGCATGGTCGCATTAGTCGCTCACAACAGGAGAAGGGAAGGTGTGTAAAACATAATAGCAGATCAATAAAATTATTTTAACTGGTTTCAACAACTCCATAAAAAAAATGTGAATGGAAACAGCTTAAAACATAACAAAATTACCCTGGAATTCTGAAACAGTAAATAGCTGAGGAGCTCAGCTTGAATACAGGTGAATGCAATGAGAAATCTGACAGTATTCAGACTCAAAATTAGTTCTCAACTCCTTTTAGTCAAGATTTGATGCATCAACATATGTCCAGATATTATCAGTCATCACCCCATGTTGATGGCCCTCCCATTCCTATTTCTGCCACTGAAGATGATAGAGACTCCATATTCTGCATCTTAGCATTCTTACCTTCGGCAAATGAGCCTACTGTGCTACCCACCAATTTCACATCCTTGGCCACTTTAACCTGTGCTTTAATTTCATCATCACGATTCAGAGTTTCTGCATCATTGATTTTAAAAAGTTCTGCAAATGAAGCTTCTCCATCATCAATAACATCAAGTTCACTTTGTTCCTCATTCTTCCTTTTTTTCTTCAGTTTCTTTTCAACATTACTAATATTCTCCTCAAGTGCCACACCCTTGTCAAAGGGCTTGTCATCCTTTTTTATCTTTTTCTTAGTTGGTTTATTCTCTATGTCAGGATCAACAATAACTATAAGACTTTCTTTCTTTCTATCTGCCTTGTCCTTTTTATGGCCTTTATTTTCCTCCTTGAGAACTCCGACTTCCATCTTGGATACATCAACAGTTTTCTTCCTTTTCTTACTTGATTTTCTCTCCGAGTCGATATCATCAGCAGCTTCAAGATGATCATCCTCATTTTGACCTGTTGGCTGAAATCTTGCACTCTTCTTTTCTTTTGTGCTGTCTCTCAAATTTTGAATTGCCTCATCTACTGAAAAATCATCAGTTCCATCAACTACGCCACCTTTCTTATTCTCAGTATCTTTATCTACTGGTCTAGCATTGAATATCTGTAGTCTTGGCAGTGCTTTCTTAATCTGCACCATTACACCCACAGTAAGGATGACATTTAATAATCAAGTATGAATTCACGTACGAATATAAAAAGCACATTGGGGCCACCTTTCTTGTAATTTTATCAATTGTGGAAACAGGATTTCCTTGGAGATTAAGATTTTTCAGATTTGTGAGCGATTTGAGCACCTATAATAAATGAAGAAAATACATGGTAAAGGGAGATATCAACAATTATCAAATGTTGGAAAAAGCAAAAGTCCATATATGTATGGACAACCTTAACTTCTGACCACCTCGTGATCACATTATTCCCCAAATCTAAATTCCGTAGCTTTGAATTGAGCTTTAATTCATCTGGGAGAGACTGAAGTACAAAATTTAGTAAGATGTTACAGGGTATAGACAATATAAAACAAAAAAGTCTCAAGCAATAAAGTCATTAAAAGAATATGAACAGTGTATGGATTCAAAGACAAATTGTCAAGGGAGGTGGAATCAAAACAGAAAGTCACATAATTAAAGCACACCTTAATCTCATTGTGAGCAAGGCGGAGCTCACTCAACTCAACACATGACTTGAGTGAAATGCCAATATCCTGAAGCTGGCAATAAGAAAGGGAAAGCTGGAACCAGGAGAGGTATCAAATCATGAGCAATAGGAATAAAGTACTGAAATAAGCACCAAAGGAGCACAACATGTTGGGGCACCTTTTACCTTTGTGACAGATTTCACCTTCATCAGAGCCTCACCAATTTTACTAATAGGATTTTTGGACAGAACTGCAGAAGTTAGAGATATTTGAAGATTACTCAAGGCTTTTGGTACATTTATGAACACTTATTGCATACATATTCAGTTCAAACCATGAGATATTAATTGGCAAAAATAATTATGCATTTCAAACATACAACAGACATACAGTAGCACAAGAAGTAGAACAGTATTGGTTTCTATATATAGAAATATACAACAAAAATTGTGACAAATGAACTATTTTGATCAAGCAATAGATAGATAGATAGATTGATTTAAATTGTAGTTGCTGTTGCAGTTTCAACGTGATCCTTGATATTGCAGAAAATTGTGACTAATGTATCCACAATTGCAGTTCTGGACCATGTTTTCAACATGAAAAGTGTGCTGCTAAACCCCTCAAAAACCAATGTATTGGGATCTATCAAGAAAGTACTTTCCAATTCATAATTCGTTTCATCCTGATTACTTGTAGGCTATACAGTTGCTTTCATGTAAACTTCTCTTCAAGAATCAGTAGATAATAATTATAAAACTAATCAAAAATAAAATTTAGCCTATTGTGAATCTGTGATGGAAGCACAACATCCAAGTCATATCAGTCACTAAAATTGATAGACAACAACCAAGTTTTATCCTATACTAGGTAGGGACATAAAGCATCAAAACTTTTAACTTCATAATAGAAAAATATGAGGTATAAGTCATACCAAGTGTGTTCAAGTCTTTCAGCTGATCAAGTTTGCAAATAGAGGAAATTTCATTTTCTGTCAAAACCAAAAAGAAAAGTGATAGTACAGAAAAAGAGAAAGCTATGAATAAATAAAAAGATTCTGTAGAATCAGTTCTCATGCTTTTCACATTGTTCTAATTTGAACCTTCAAAATAGATGAAATTAGCATGTAAGGAGTCTCACCATTCAAAATAAGTGCTCGGAGGCTAACAAGTGACATGACCGGATCGATAGATTTAAGCTTATTTTTTCCTGCATTCAGCACCTGGTTCACATATGCATATAAAAGTGACTCCTAAATCCTCATGCAATTCAATGAATTTTAACAGAAGAATTAAAGCCTAGGCAGATTATTTGACAAGAAATAAATTCATTAATTTGGACATATGCATGCACAAACAAAACAAGCACATCAAGGAAATGACAGAAGAATCATGGTTTCAGAAACTCAACAAAACATCACTCTTTCTAAAAGCTTTAACGATAGTAATCTCATTCTGAGATCAATATACTTAATCACACATTCCCTGTGAAATAAAAGATTGCAAATAACACAAATACAAGATGCACATGAAATACAACCAAGTAACATGACTGACATAAGGACATGACTTGTTCATCTCAAATTAAACAATTCTGTATCTATAATTCTAGCATAATAAGCATCAAGGGCGGAGTCATGATTCTTGGGAGTTGAGGTTAAAATCATATCGATCTCAAGATAAGAAGACTCTTCGTGACGCTATTCCTACAGCATTGTTTTTCCAATTTGAACAAACTGGTCCTAGGGAGAGCCAAGATGTCTAAAACATTGAATACTAGAAAGAAAAAGAGATGTAACACCACTGTTCTCACAACTAACACACCAGTAAGAGCACCAAAGAAGCTATTAACAACAATACAACATTCAAGTATCAACTAAATTTATTAACTACTTAACTAAGCCACTAAAAAATAAACTACAAAAACATACATTCCTAGGATATGAGATAAACTAAAGAGTAACAAAATAAAACCCGGAGCTGCTTACAGTGAGCTTAGCAAGTCCTCGAATTCCTTCCAAGCTTTCTAATTTGTTTTCTACAACGGATAACCACTTTAAATTAACACATGATCTCAACCCCTGGTGTAGCATGCACAACAAATCAATTAGAATGGCAATAATCCATTTAAAATACAAAAGGGTATAAAAATAAAAAACAAAAAGAAAAGGTAAAAATAAAGTACCTCAAGTGAAGTGAGATTGTTGAGCTTGAGGTCAAGCTTCTCCAAGTTGATGAAGTTGGCCAAGCACGTTATCTGGGTAATTTCCAAAGTTAAAAAAGATAAGATTTTTGGTGGTTATAAGTGGAATGGAGAACAGAAAAGAAAAGGGGTTTGAAATATCTGACATCGGAAAGAGCTTTGTGAGTGAGGTGAAGAGTGAGAACGGAAGTTGGGTCGGCGGTATTGTTGTCCTTCAACACCTGCTCCGAGCTCAGCCGAGTCATTGCCTCTCTCTCTCAAATTGAAACTGCTAAGCCTCTTTCTATAACATCTTAAAACCCTACCTTTCATCACCCCCTTTTTTTTTTTAAGGTTTATTTAACAATTTTGGTGAAATTTTCAGTAAGATTAAAAAATGTTAAAATATGAAAGATGAGATTTAAACCCAACCTTACTTGCGAGTTCAATAATAAATACTAAATTAATGAATTTCTTAAATATATAAGTAAAAATTATAATATATAATAGAAATTAAAATTATAGATACACTTATTATTATTAAATTAAATATTATATTATATATTAGTAATATTAATAAATTAATACTGAAAATATGATTAGTATGTTAATATATTATTATTATATTTAAAATTATATAATTTTTTACTTATTTAAATTATATACATTATAAATTCCATTCATCAACTAAATAATATATTTTATTATTACTAAATAAATAAAATTTAAATATATCGTTAATATTAATAATATTATTGAATATTTCTAGGTAAATTAATAATTTAATAAATATAAATCAATACATATTAATATACTTTTAAAGAAAAAAATATCATATATGATATAAATATATTAGAAATATATGATATAATCCTTTCAAAAATATATGATAAAATTGAAAATATATGATACAAATATAAGTTTTAGTAATTAAAATAGAGTTAATTACCAATACACTGCCAATATAAAGTTTTTTTACACCGACAACCAATCAGATCTTTTAAATTATTTTATTTTATTTTTATTTCATTAAATAAGCAACTAACGTAGTACTATTAAGAGATATGATTGGTTGCTAGTGTAAAAAAATTTTATACTGACAGTGTATAAGTGATTAATTCATTAAAATATACAAATTAGATACTTAATACTTATATTATATATTTATTATTTTTTAAAAGTATATTAATATATATTACATCAAAATTGTAGTATACCAAAAAATATTCTAATAATTTTATTAATATTAATTTACTAGATTAATTTATTTTAAGATTTATCTTATAATTAAAAAGATATAATATTTTAAAATAATCACAAGTAAATATATAGTAAATTTTCTTAAACCAGATAATGCTGGTTTCCTAAGTGACAAGTGACAACTGAGTTGAATAGCAGTCGCATACACGAATCTGCTAAACTGAATTTTTGCTTTATGTTACTTGAACTGTGATGAACAATTGAGCAAAGGAGTGATGAAGGAACTTGGACAGTTTCATTTTATGGATACCCTTTCAAGGATTAGATTCCTCCCCCTTTCTTACAACCTTTACTTCCCCAACACTTACGCATTGTCTCCTTTTTCGCATGTTTTATATCAAGAGCTTCTGATATAGTATGGCATAGAAAGTTCACCAGTTCTGTTGATTTTGATGTCTGCTTTGCGCTTAAAACAGCAATCTTTCCCTCAAATAAAGGACCTTGATACCACTTGTTATATACTTGGGATTTCCACATAGATTGTCTCCACATTGTTTATTTTAAACTTAAACTCTCATAGTTTTGCTTTGAATATCACTTAAAAGACCTCTTAACATTGGAGACATATGTATTTTCTTGTTTAAACAATATGAAACTTTGTATACATTCCATCAATCTTCCTTTTAAACAAAGGGTAATGGTTTAACCCCCCATTTGCAAAGTGAAAGCTATTAATGAACGAATATATCCGATGGTGACCCATAAAATCTAGTTAGGCTCTTTTCTCTTGTTTGAATGATATAAGATTTTACTTGCATCTCAAGAAACGGTATATGGGATGCTTTTATATTTGTAGATCATACAGAGTGATAGTGATGGATGTCTGTTGAAACTTTCAAGAACCCAAGAGTGGGTATTAGGTGACAAGTCTGCTCCATTAAATCAGAAAGTGACTGCTAAGGTATGTTTCTGATTTTATTTTATTTTAAAGATGTAAGGACTATAATTTTGCTTCTTTATTACATTTAGACCATCATCCCGTGGCACATAAGTGGAAAACTGGAAATGAATTTGAGTTATGTCCAATTTTCAATACATATTTTGTTTTGTTAAAATGTTTTTTGAATGCAGCTTCTTTAATCAGTGAATAATTATTTATTCATTTCCAATACTGTTTGATGCTTGCTTTCATATTCATATATTACAAATGTTGCAAGACATCAGTGCAAGACAGAAGAAACTGAACATTCTCAGATATGAATGTATGATACTTATCTTGAAACTCATTAGGCTCTTTGTTAGCTCAAATACATCAGTGTTTTCTTACCCCAATATGTGTAGACTTTGATTAATTATTGTTGTTCAATTGTTGTCAAAGTTGCTGATTCATTATTATTTTGTTATTGTAGCTCAAGAGGGAAATATTGCTTGTATCCGTGGGTATTGGACTGGCTTATAGTGGATATTGTTTGATAGCATTGTCAATGCGCGGATAGACTTTCCCTTTATTGCTTTGCACAATGCTTTGTAAAACAGTCTCACTAACTTATTATAGTTGATAACCGGGCCAACCTACTTCTAATAATTCAATCATGTCAATTTTGGTCACAGTAAAACTAACTTTGGACGCATGCCAAGGTCCTTTCCCGTAATGATTTAACCTTAACCCTTACTACATGAAAGTTCCAAATTAGTTACTTCATGTGAAAACAAGTTGGTAGCATGTTATTTTCTTTCTCTATAAAATAAACAGTTTGGGGCATTTGGTGTTATTGATAATTTGAATCTTTAGAAAAAAGAAAAGGAAAAGATAATTCCTTTCATGACTTTATAAGTTTCTCAGCAATGACTTATAAAAGAAAAAATAAATAAAATGAATTAAGAAGATAAAATAATTCAGACTTTATGCGTAAGCGCTCCCATGAAATTCTGCATAAACACCAATATACTTATAAGAGCATTTTGTATGTTTGGATTCAATGGTTATTTCAATTGAAAAAGGTCTCATAAGCTAGAGGCTAATCCGAAGTCACATAAATTCTCCAACAATCCTAATTGAATTATGTAACTATAACTCTTCTGAGTTCACCGTGCTGTGACTAATTTCTGTCCTTTTAATGTGCAGGCTGATATAAGTTATGCGATTGGATTGGAGTCGTCTTCAGGTTTGCCTTGGATTTGTTTTACTAAAATAATGATTGATAAGCATAAGTGGCCACTAGTGAGTAGTGATCTTACTTATTCACTGGATATGATGTGTTGGCTTGTGAAAGTAAAACTTTTCAAAATATCACTTCAAAGGAGATTGTTATTTTTCAACTAAATTTTATGAAATGCTGTGTCTTCTGAGAAGCAAAGTGAATTGGATTGCTTTGAAGTTGGTGCCCCTTCATATGTTGCTCCCCGGGATTGAATCCAGTACCAAACAAAATAATAAACCAACCAACTAGGAAGATGAGGAAAAAAGAAAATGTAAATTTTCCTGCTTTTTTGAATATTTACTGCAGTATGTCACTTTAATTTCCTAGGCTTGTGATTCCAACAACAAATTTTGAACTTTGGGTTCTATCGCATCAGCATTTTACCAACAATTTCTTTGACTTCCAAGTAACACTCGGAAGCTGTCTTCTGTACGTTATTAAGTTTGAACTACAAATATTTATTACACAACTCTAATATAACACATTGGTCATTTATGTTTCTCTTGTTCACCACAGCTTGTACCTGCCATGCTTGGGATGTTTGTCTACAAGGCTCCCGTTCTAGTGCAAGTATATAGAGACAACGAAAAGAAAACATGGATGGCTCATGTGACTAAAATATATATTTGTTTCCACCAAACGGTCTTCCCTACATCGAATATTTGAAATGTAAACATATGTTCAGTGCATAGTATAAAAACACAATGTTAATTACTTTAGATTGAATTAGTATAAATCATAAAACACCTAAACGAGTTACAACTTTACTACTTAAATTAAATGATCAAGTTAATATTCATTTTCTAGTTAAAGTCTCGCGCTACTTTCTGGTTGGTTAACGTGCAAATATTACAATATCGCGAGGAAACAGGAACTGATTTTTCATCAGCTACTCGTAATCCATTAAAAAGATAGGGGTGATTATATACTTGCATTATGCAGCACAGACGATTTTCTTTGAAACACTGACCAATGGTGCTATACAAAGTCTTCTTGACATAACAAATTAATAAAATACACAATAAACAAGGCTCAATAACCACCTATGCACCCCCTATAATTTGGATATTTGTTTCAGTCGATCAACATAATTTGTGAAATCAGTTCCGAATGGCTACCCATGCATCTGGACCTCACCATTTCCTGCCATGTCACGTCACTACTACAATTGATATGGCAGTTAAAATTGCAATGTCTTGTCTAAAAACGGTGACAGGAAACTAGCTAGATCAAAATGGTCACCACAAAGCACAACCAATTTTACAAATTGAAAATGACTGAAACATTTCAAAGTTTTAGGACATATTAAAGCCTGGCCTAAAAATTATACCAAATGTAATTCAGCCCAAAAAACAATTCATCCTGCGAGGTGAAAATTAAACCCCTCTTGAAAGTTATGATTGATGAGCATTCAGCAGCGCTCTATAGACCATATCAATGAATTGATTGTCCTACCAAACAGCAAAAAAACGAAATGAGAATAATAATAATGATATTCGTAGTCGTAGTAGTAGTAATCTGTCCCGATTAGGAAATACAATGACACATTATTTGCCCAGACATTTAAGATCATTGTATTCCCCACACAGAATATAATATGCAAGCACCAAGCAAGTAGACTAACCTGAACAAGCACCAGAAGAGCATCTCGAACCTTTTCTCTGGAAATAACTGGACCATAGTTCGAAGAGGGAGCAGGAGCAAGTGAAGGAGGTGGATTTGGCGGTGGAAATGGCTGTAGCAGTGGAGCACCATATGGGCGTTGTACATTAACAGCAGGATGAAGTGGAGGGGCTGTAGGTGTGGATGAAGATACAGGGGGTATTATCATTGGTGAAGAAGGGGGAGGGACGAAAAAAGAAGGCTTCACAAGTTTTGTGGTTCGGTTACTGCTGCTGATGGATTCAGGAGCATCATGCTGGGGTATTAGAGTAGTAGGTGCCGAAAGAGAGGGTATCTGTAAGGTTGGCACAATGGACGTAGCAGCATGAGTTGGCACTGGAGATGAAGGAATTGTAGCAGAAGACTGATAAGGTTGTCCAGTAATTGGAGCATTTGAAGTATTCCCAATAGCCATGGCTGCCTGCAATAATAAAGTATCAGGAAAAGTCAACCTCATCAGAACCCATTTACAAATTACAAACATTTAACTTGTCATGAAAAGCAATATTTGTAATATCCATTTGATAAAAATTACATATAATTATAAAAATGATCATAAGTGAAAACCAAAGTTGTCAGTGGGTCCTACAGTTCAGCAAATAAAAAAGCTGAAAAAATTGACAACCAATTGAAGTTCATATTGTTAAACTAGCCTAGCAAAAAAAAAAATCCAAAAAAATGGACAACCAAGTGAAGTTTGAATTCACAACATGCAAAAATGAGTCTCTTGTAATATCTGAGATACTAAAATTGGAGCACGCAGTGAAAGGATTCAAAAGATTAGATGGAATAAGCCATAGTTTTATAGTTTTCTCCAGTACGTCATTGAAAATTAAATTCAGTTCCTGTCTTCTCCCATAGAAATCAGCAAGAAAGACTATTAGCATATAGCTTAAACTGTTATATATCAACAATGTTAAATGATTAAAAAAGAAGCACCCAAGTACCAGTAACCAAAGCACACAACCAAACTAAGAATATATGCAACTATTCATCTCCACTGTATGATTGTCATCACATTATTTGTCAAGAGAGTTTAGATATAAATGAATGGTTGAAAAAATTGCAATAACAAATTATCAGAAGCAAATAACATTGTTCACAATGTTACATACACTGAAGAAATTTATAAAGGAAGGATCATCAGGAACATCAGCCACATTGGAATTAGTGGATGATGGCGGCTCAAGAGGACCATCCATAACTGCCATAGTTGGCACTGCTTCTAGTTCCTCAAACTCACTGCAATAAGTGTAAGCAGAACTTCATTTACTCAAATTCAAAGCATAATATAATGTCCAAAAATAAATGGCTAATGTCTTGAGATATGCTAGCTAAAGCTGTCAGCTATATAATAATCACTTATTGGTAAGGCACAAGAAAATTGCCCTTTTTTAAGAGAGAGAATGAGTACTACTATGAGGGTCAAAAATTCTCCAAACTTTCAAAACATAAAGAGAAAAAAACAAAAGAAAAAGAAAACTATGAAAGCAAAAATAGTGCCCAATATTTTTGCATAAAAAAAAAAGGAACAATGCAAATGCCTTTGAAACAGGCATTGGTAGAACAGCAAAAAAAAGGCAAAAAATCATCCTGTGCAATAGCAATATATACAATTTTATAAAAAAAAAAACAAAACAATAATAAGCAAATAGGAAAACTTAGCCCCTTTCCCAACCAAAATAATAATACAATTATATAATAACATGACTAGGTGTAAGTTGCATAGTCATTATATATCAACATGTACGGTATAAATATACTCATTGTATTCCATATAAATCCAAGCAGTAAACTAGGAATACAGGGTCTGATCTCCCCAAAATATGGGTTCCAAATAGCTAAAAGTGGTGATCTCCACTAAAAGAGGGACAGAATGATCCATGATGGTGATTTGGAAAGAAAGGCAGTAGCCAACGGAAGTGGATGCAGATGAGATAGAGACAAGACAGCATGCAACAGAAATCCTAGATAGAGAAAACATATCCATCAAGATCACTTAAAATCCATGGCATTGTCAGGAGCACGCATATGAATTCATAATAGTTGGATTAGAATTAAAAATAAAAATACATAAATTAAACCGTCCCATCAATCCATTAGGATCAACCTAGTAGTGGTGGGAGTTGGGATAAATGCATAACAACTTGGGTTTGATCCTCATCTAGACTATTCTGCACTAAAAAACCATTCATGGGGGAGCAAGCAGATGTTCTCACGGAGTCATTTAAACCAGTTAGAAGCATATTATTACCTCTTTGTAGAAGAAACCTTTGACTTTGGAGGAACCTTGGCATATGCATTAAGGATCCTGAAAATTAACCAAATATACATTAAACACATGGATACATGATTTTCTTTATTTTACAAATTCCAAACAAATCTAGATGTCTATGATAACAACAGCAACTGAAATCATCATTAACAAACTTGTCTTGCAAACCATTTCTATAACAATAAGAAAACGAGAGAGAAACAGGGAGACTTCTTTGAATATTTTCTTTCTCAACAACCCTTATTCACCAGATGTAAGATCTACACTACAGTTTCTCAGACACATTACTGGGAAATAATTGTAATGGATGGAACAGCTACTTAAATCTATGTATTTCCGTTCCTTGTATATGTCCATATTTAGAAAATTTTGTTGCTGATTTTATGAGATAAATCATACACAAAATAGAGTATCATTATTGTTTAATCCAAGTTTCCCCATTTTTAGTGTTGCTATACTTTTATGTCTAAGTACATAGGAAAATGTTCGAGGACCAAAGCTAATTGTTGCACATAGCTTATATGTTACCTATGGTATATCATCAACTAATTCCAGGATTCCTTCAAGGCTTAAACTAATGCTTGAAAATTGAATTTGACTGTCATACAAAACACACCATATTTTGGTGAGGAGCCCTTTAAGTTGAATTAAAATCCATTAGGAGCTGGCATGGGAGAGCTGACTTATTCAATACCTAATATTTCCATAATTCAATCTATAGGAAGAGCAATACCTGCTAAAAAGATTGGCAACCTCTTCACATTCACGTGCATTATAGAACCAGATACCATTCACTTCTTGGGCAGCGTTTCTATACAGTAGATATGGAACCTGAACTTCATACTCGAAATCCCCCAAGAGATTCTCCACCAAATTTTCTGCTCATGCCAACACCAAAAAGGGAAAAATGCAAGTTACATGCACGTTCTTCACCACCAAGTCAAGTATTAACACAATATCTATTTCATCCTTAAAGCAAGGTTTAAAAACATTTACAGTTTACGCGTTCACTAATTCGCAATACTCACAATATTAAATGCAAGATGCTGAGTGTGAAGTGCCAATAGCCAACACCCAAGCCCCAATCCTATAATTGTAAGGTTAAAAACACACCAACTAACTAAAACCATATTATTATATTGTACCTCACAATCATATACAGAGGAATAGAATAGAATAGAATAACTAGCAAGCAAAACGAGAAGTTTTCAAAAACAAATCCAAAAACCACATTATCAAGTATCGTAGATACATACTATAAAGGAAGATCAATACCGGCACAATTTTTTTTTTCCATTTTTGAAAAAACTAAAACGAGAAGAAAAACAGGCAGAGGGAGTGACTCACCAGTATTGCGACGGTTCATCACAATAAACTGAAATCGCGGTTGTGTGTTCCTGAAATTAAACAAAGCAATAGAATACGATAAGCCTCGAATCGAGAGACGTGGATCGCATGAATCGCGCAATAGATAAAGAAAACGCAGCGAGGAAGAGGGAAGAAGCGAACCTCTTGACAACGAAGAGAGATCCTTCAACGTCCTTGCGGCTCTGCAGGCAATTGCGGACGATGAGGGAGGGAAGAAGGAAAAGAAAGGGAAAGGGGAAAGAAACAAACCCATTGGCTGAGGTCGATGTTGAACTCGTAGAAGGTGACGTGTGCGGCGGTGATGAGAATTTCCTCGACGAAAGGGTCGATGCGTTGGAGAACAGTGAGGTTGAGAAGCTTTGTGCTGTGCTGGTCTAGATTCGGCATGAGCTTCCCGTTCTGAGACATTTTGGAACCCTAGAAATTGGGGACAAGAGAAGAGAAGCAGCTTTTCGCTTTGCCTTTGGTTTTGGTTGAGTTTCAGTCTTTCAGAATCAGACTCAGCTTCTTCCCAAAGAAAACTAAATCACCCAAACAAACATCCATCTAACCATGCCATCTCCCTTTATTTATAATCTAAGGATTCCATTTATTCGCTTTTCAAATATAAATTATCTCCTCTAATTTCATCTGAGGTCATTTAAATTAAATTATTTTTTCTTTTGGAAAAAAAAGTATCAAATAACTCTGTTAACAAAAAACAAATTGTAAAATTACTTTCTATTAATATAAACCAATTATAAATTATGATACGTATAGTTTTGAAGTAATTTTTATAGTATATAGCATATTTGTTAAATTAGTAAATAAAGTGTATTTGAATGTATATTCCTTTAGTTTTATTATCCATACATAGTTTATAAAAGGATAACTTTTTATTTATTTAATGTACTATTATACTCTTCAATTAATAAAAAAGTTAAATAATTATAATTTTTTTAATAACTACGTACAATTAGAAATGGAAGGGAATTATGGGGCTTTTAGCCTTGTGCTGGGATATACAACGCTGGATTTGTAGGAAGCAGAAACCTTGAACATGATATATTTCATTTTAATGTAGTAAACATGAGTGACACCACAAACTCATACAAGTTGACAATAATAATTATATAAGAGCGACTTCTGTGAAGCTGAAGCAGCACCATTTAGCAATTTACATTCAATTAATTTCTCCTTTCAACCTCTTTTGAGAGCCACAGCGGACACCAGAATCAAGCAAATTAAGAAAAGCGCAGCAACGAAAGAAGCCACCACAGACTCACTGCCAGCCTGGCAGAAGTCAGTGAATTGTTGACAAATGGCAATCCAATTGGCATCTTGGCTTCCATTGTGAGCTAAGTACACAACAGCTGCAGCAGACGAAGCAGTTGCCATCACTAAAGCCATCACCAACTGCAACATTAATTGTAGTCAAATATTTTAGAACAAACCCATGCTCATTTGATCAATGCATTATCTATACTCATATTGAATTTTTCAAGCTTACTATGTCTACGATCACTAGTAGAAGCCTTGGCCCTACTGCAAAAGGACGAACAATGCAGACTATCGAAAATGGCAAGGAAAGGACGAGGAATCCACCTGCCATTCCATTTGCAAACACAAAAAACCTGCATTTTAAAAGATCCAATTAAAAGAATGGCATTTAAATCTCATTAGTGTAACTATTTGTCAGCTCATTTATGATGCATGTGTGTTAGTAGTATTGATTAGACCATAAATCATGAATCTCATGGTATTTAAGAACACAAAGAACAGAATTGTAAAACCTGTTTTAATACAAGTTAGAATAACTTTTGAAAGCTTGTCTTCTTAACATAGAGTTTTTGAGAGCGAAGAAATTCTCAAAATTTCTTCTACACATATATCCAATCAGACTCTATTCAGAAGAGAATTTCTCAAAAATTCTTTTAAATTTGTATTCAGAGTCTAAGTAGACTCATAACATAATAATAACTTCTAGATTTACGTCTTTTTATGATTTCATTTGCCATGAAAATTTAAGCATGTGTGAACTCCATGAATAGAATCTGTACTTGAATTAAAGGAGAGAAAATGTTATTGTTATGTGATATCCAAAATTGGACACACCATGTTTAATATGGAACATAAACTTACTGGAACTGTGGAAAATTACTCCATTGAGCATGAAACTCAAAGAACTGCGTGAAGAATGGAAGAATCTGTTCATTGTTCCCCATGATGGCAGCAGCACCTAGAGCAGAACCGATGGCTCCGAGCCTAAGGATGAAATCCAGGATTGCAACACCCTTTTTCCATCCACCTCTTGGGAGTGGGGTAGCTTTTGTGGAAACCACAGTAGCAGAAGGAGGAGCAGCATTAAGAATGCCTTTCCCTTTGCCATTGCTCCTGGTCCTCTTCGATTCCGGGCTGGTAGCTGCTGCTACTGCCACACCCTCTTCTTTCCCTGAGTCCATCACAATCGGATATTGCAGGTGCTCTTTTGAAGGATATGATATATATATGGTAATCTTCCAGTGTTGCTTGAGTATATATAGAGAATGCATAAAGTTGGTTAGTCAAGATTCTCCATGTTTCTTTCAAGTCTGATTCTGATACGGTTTGTAATGAAGGAGTTGTTAAGAACTTACTTGCTCCACATCGTACCAAAAGCATTTTTCCTTGATTATGTAATGTGACGTTCCTACCACGAATATGACAAAATCACCAACTAAACTAACGAATGATGGTAAGACCAATAATTAAGTATACTATTGAATATTTGGGTATCATATATATCATTACAAACGAAAACAATACATGAGGGACTCGAGCCAAAAACAAACTCCACAAACACAAGTACATACGAAGGGATTTGGTTAGACACCCACACAGATTGAGTCATTTTTGGGCCATACATAAAATTATTCAATCGTGAGTTTTAGCATTACATTAACTCAAAATGAAAAGCTGTTGGCAGTGTCAATTCAAATAAATTGTATTCTCCTCGGAGATACTAGTACATGTTTGTGTGTGAGATAACAAAAAATTAGTTCATTCGCATACTTGTAGATATGAATTAATTCTTACATCATAATGTGTAATATAAAGTTTATATTTTATTCTTCAACACCTATATGTAATAATGAAAATACTATTTTTGATGTTTAACCAACTCATAAATTTGTTGAAAAAAAAAAAAAAACTCCAACAACAATCTTAAAAAATTCAATTAAATGAAAGGCTACATGCATGTAGGGTAACATTTGCAATAAAAATCTTATCATTTTGTTTTTCTAAAATTTAATATATTTAAATTTAATAAATAGTGTTAGGATGAATATGAAAGATTTAATTATTTAAGAATATTTAATATACACTACATTTGAAAAATTATATATGTATAAGTTATTATATTTTAAAATAATAATAATTAATATATTACATTAATTATTAATTACAATCTTAATATAAAAATATAAATTTAATCGATGAAAAAACTATAAATTATAAAATTTTATTACATAAACAAATATATTAGTTTCTAACTAAGATTAATTTTGCATTTAAAGTTACAAATATTTATCTTCATTATTTAATAGATTCAAGTTCCATACTCCATTAAATATAAAGACATTATAATTGAATAGTTTCATCATTTTATATGTTGTGTAACTTTGAACTTAAATTCATTTTTACATTTAACTATAATTATAATTTAAATTTATTTTTTATATTTGTCTTTATATATTGTTTTATAGCAACTGAATTGCTAAAATTATTATATTGTCTTTATAACACTACAAATTAGATACAGAAGTATATTATTTCCCCTAAAAAAAAAGAAGTATATTATTTATTACCATCTTTTAGCAATCACATATACAAATAAATTATAATAAAATCTTATTTTATCTTTTAAAAAATATATTATTTCTTTTAAATATTATAATATTATATTCTTATATATATATATATATATACTAAATATAATTTCAAATTATCAACTCCTCTATACTGATTGTAGCAATATTATAGTTTTGTCAAACAATTAATTTCTTATAATTAATTATTTTTATAATTAAAATTTAATCAAATCCAATCTCTTAATTAATGTAATGATTAATATATAAAAATATTAATTAAATGTAATTTTTAATTATCAATTACTTTATCTTACAATTAATATTAATATCAATTTATTGTTATTTATAAATTAATAATTATTATTATATTATTTGTTATTTTTTAAACAATAATTTAATGAAATTTAATCTCATTATAAAATTAATAATATATATATATAATAGTTAAATATAATTTTAAATTATCAATGTCAATTATTCTACTATAATAATTTGATATACAGTAAAAATTTAATAGTGTAAGAATGTGCATTTTTTCTATTACTTAATTTAAAAAAATAAACTATAGTTGTCAAAAAATATTATCACAACCTCGATTATTACATGAGTAGGTACGATCTCTTCAGTACTAATTTTTCAGCAACTTTATAATTGTGTTTAAAAATATTTTTCTCCTTATAATTAATAATAATCATGCTGTATTTACTATTTTTTTAACTGACTTTTTAATCAAGTTATTAGTTAATATAACAAAATATATATATATATATAAGTACTAATATATTACGATTTCAAATTATTAGTCAATACTAATTGTAACAATATTATATAATTTATAATTTATCATAATTATTAATACTTAAAAATAATTGTATTAAACATACTCTATAACAATTATAATTTTATATAAAAAAAATGATTGGATTTTAGCTACTAAAAAAATTCAATCTTTAATTCGTTCTGTCAAAAAATAATTAATTAAAGAAATTCAAATTAAATTACTATGATGTATGTGAGAAAAATAAAAAATAATAAAGAAAAGAAAAATAGAGAAACAATAAGAAAAAAAATGATGAAAAATATCTCAAGTACAATTCTATAAAAAAAAAAAATAAATAAGGCATTCAAGTGTTAATGACGAAATATATCAATACATTCAATTAAATATTAATAAATATTCTTCTATTCCTTTACTTGCAAAATTAATTATTTTGCATTAACAAATTATTAAAATTCATGCTCAACACAAAGTTTTTATCAACTTCTCACTTTTCCTTCAATATTGCTTCAAATTTCCTAAATACATATGTGATAAGAAAATACATCTTCCATCTTCTTGACATAAGTGCAAAATGAGAATTGAATAATATAAAGTTGAGAAAATTTGTAACAAAGTTGATATAAGTTAGTGTCTTTAATTGACATTAACATCATTAAATTTAATAAATGCTAATAAATTTATTTTACAATTAATATAAAATATTTGAATTTTGAAGGCTTAAAATTTCTAGAAAAAGTGGGTTAGGACTATATAGTGTTGAACAGAAAATTTTGTTAATAGACGGTTCTACTTTTAATAATATATATGAGCAAAAAATATCAATTTCCCATGTATATATTAAGAAAGTTAATTAAAAGTATTTAATTTTCATGAATTTACATAAAATAAACATTATATTTGCTAAAATATCTTTAACTACACCTATATTGTAATAGATAGTACTCACGTTTATTGTCTTATAGATATTTTTGGTTTAAGATCCATTAAATAAAACTGATTTAATTAAAATTTTCTTACATTTTAGTTCAAAAAATTTAAACATTTTTTTTACTTCATATTTCATACTTGAATATGTTGTTATGTATCTTCAATGAGATTATTTTTTTTCTCTCAAACTTAAAATTAATCTTTTAATCCTTCTAATTTAAAGAGAAAAAAAAAATTATCTCATTCTCTGTACTCAAATATTGTAGCTGTAACGACCCGGCAGGCCGCAACACTCACAATTATAGCACACCGGAAACACTAGACAGAATAGAACGAGTATATAGATATAGTGTCTAGAATATAAATATATACATATGTTCCAAATCCGACTAGAGTTAGAGTATGCAATATATAAGGATTACATCAAAAGTCACTATGCCAAATGACCAAACCAAAACAAAGCATCCATAGGAGTCAGCTCCATCTATCAGCTGCCGATTCATCACTATCTACCGCCTATCCCTGCTCTGCTCCCGTACACAGTACGATCATAGCAGTCCAACCACATGGAAACACAAAGGGTAAGCTAGCATAAAAAGGAACAACATATGGAAAATTTTTAACAATAACAGCAATTACAACCACCAACGAATCGTCAATTAGCATCCAGTCAGTTATTTCCACACAGATTCACCAACACACACAAGATGCGTCGTCACGCATATCACCTCGGAGATCTCCTACAACACCTCAGCCTTTCGGCCTACAACTCCTCAGCCTTTCGGCCTACAACACCTCAGCCTTTCGGCCTACAACAAACAATAGCAACACACAGTACAACACAACTATACCGACAACACATCAATTTCACGGTTCAACATATCATCTATAATATAAAACTACTTTTTAGTCCATTCACCAGAACAATTTAATATCAACTTCAACGTTATCTACTAGACGTCATGTCATAACTTTCCAATTCAATTCAACTCAACATAAGCATCATATTCAATAATTTCATCTCCGCGCCCGACGCACACGTGGTTGCGCCTAGCGCGGCGCAACCAGAGAGCACCAGGGACCAACGCGCCCCAGCGCAGGTGTACCCGCGCCCGGCGGGACTCACCCAGAGAACCCAAGGCCCTCTCGCGCTTGGCGCAATCGCCATTGCGCCCAGCGCTGGCCAGGCAGAGACTCAAGGAGTCTCATGCGCCCGGCGCACCGAACCACGCGCACAGCGCGGGGGAGGCAGAGACCTCCCTTGGTCTCGCGCCCAGCGCAATTCAAATTGCGCCCAGCGCCCACAAGGCAGAGACTCCTAAGGAGTCTCGCGCCCAGCGAGACAAGGGGGCGCGCTCAGCGCCCAAAGGAAGGATCACAAAACCTGCCACAACTGGTATCGCGCCCAACGCGGTCCAAGTCACGCTCAGCGCGGGCCAGCCAGAGACCCACAATCTCAAGCGCGCACAGCGCACTCATCATGGCTCTCGGCGAGCTTGACCAAATGGGGTCTCTTGATGGCCGCGCGCCCAGGCGCGAAGAACCCCGCTCAGCGCGAAGCTCAGTAGCAGCCAACCTTTTTCGAAAAATTTCATCAAAAACCTGCGAAAAGACCAAAAACTTCACATGCAATAGGTTCAAAACACTACATTTTCATCCAAGAGTCCAAAAGTACTGCCTTTTCCAACATGCAACAACAATCAAGGCTATTCCCCAAAATTCCTCAACACCCCGAAACCCCAAAAACAACAAGTTTCTCTTAATCCAGCCACGAATCAACCATCTACAAGCATCCAACGAGTTTCTAGAACTCGTCCACAACCAAAAATAGCGAAAAAGAACAAAAATACTAGCTTCCCTTACCTCGGGTGAAGATTCCGAGTTCCGGGAAGCTTTGAACGGAGGAGAAAAGAGAACTAATGAGCTTCGAATGCAAGAGAAAGGAGAGGGGATCCCGACACCAGCTAGCACACCTCACAACTCAGCACCACCACCTTGAGTTCAAATAAGGAGAGAAAAGAGTTTTAGAGGATTGAAGGAAAGAGGCTTCAGTTCAAAAATGAGAGGGAGAGGATGAGGTCTTGTGGAAGAAAGGAAAAAGTCAAAAAAGGGTCTCACAGTAGCTGCACAAAATTCTAAATCATAAATCCTAAATATCACATCAAAATTCAACTAATATTACATATCTAATTTTATATGTTTTTGCAAGTAATGTACATGTTGTCTTGAAGAACTTAGAAATTAATTATTTTTTAAATCACAGACTAAAAATTAATTTTAAATTTGAGAACAAAAAGTAAATTTATCTTAAATTTAAAGAAATTAAAAAATATTAAACTCATACTTTATCAGTAGACACGAAGCTAAATGATCACAAGATAAAGGAGCAGATTAAAGGAAAGGGGAGGGGTAAAAAAGAACAGTACAGTTTGTTTACAGCACAAACAATTTTTTATTCACCTCATTTATTAAAAATGTGCCAATCGGCACAAAAATGTCAAGTTTGCAAGCCGCAATGGTACAATTAACCTTATATTATATTACATCCTTGAATATTGTTATGGTGGAAAGAATAACGAACATCCGATCCGCATTTTCTATTCGTGCTATCAAAGAAATTTGATATTTAGGAAACTATCTTCCAAGTAACAAATGGCTAAGGCCTTTAACAAAACATAATAAAAATTAGTATTGTGTGAACAAATAATTGTGTTCTATATCTTCAGTTTCCACCCTCGGGCAGCAAGCGCTTCATGAACCCGTTTAGCTGCTTCAGCATTGTCATCAAGGGGTGGATAACTCCAATTTTCCGACATCTGAAAAATTAAGGAAATATATACCTATTAAAACATGAATATTTGACAACACAAGATATACAATTCCAAGACAAACATCCTTCCACATATTAATTTTAATTCATGTTCTTGATGAGTAAGTAAGGCTCCAACTTACATCCTCAGACCCTGTAAAAGGCCTAACAACTCCCCGTTGTCTCAATGATTTGTGGAATTCTGTGAACTTCCATCTGCATCGCTCAGCTCCCATAATATACACAGGCTTCCTGTGGGAGAAACAAAACTGATTTCTTAAAGACAAATATCAGAAATTAAAATACATGCATCAATTTACAACAATAACAACAACAGTCTTTGGGGATAGGCACCAATGGACTCTCTAAAAGCTAAATTCTCAGTAAAATCATTTAGAGATCCAAGTTGGGAAATCTAATCATAGAAATTCTTTTGACAAACATACCCGGTGCTGCAAGCTTCACTAATCATGCTAACTGAATCTGCTGTGACAACAAATGCATCAGCCCAAGCCAGATGCCCCATATGGGGGTTTGGTTCTGAAAATTGTGTTAGCAACAGGAATTAAACATTTCTATATGTTACAACAAATTTCAAAAATCGGATTAAATATATAATTTAATCTAAACCTGAATAAATATTTACCTTGCCCATCCCAAATATAAACTTTTGGATTATTCCCAAGTTCTTTCACTATAATATTGGATACCTGTTTAAAAGACAAAGGAAACAAAACGTGTGTCAGAGATGAAAAAAATTGCTCAATGATACCTGCTTGTAAGGAACCTCGTGGTATGACTATACCTTTTGTGGAGTCCTCTCTGAAAAGGATATTCTTACACTCCCACAACTACCAAGAACGCTGAGCAAAGATGTTGCTAACTGCTTTGCAAGATCAACACCATATCGACAGTTTTCTGTACATATAATGGATATTAGGTAAACTAATATACCTTTTGGCCACTGAAGTTATTAAACAGTAAACACAAATCCTTATCCCTGTAGCCTTTAGACAATTAGACCGGATAAAACTTCAAATTTTTCTTGTCCCCACTGCCCCCCAATCCCATCCTCCCCGCATGTGCATGCATGGTAGGAAAAGCTAGCTCTACCACTAAAATTTCTAATTATTAAATTCATGAGAAGGTTTATGTATAGAAAAAAAAAATCATTTGTACTGCAATTCTGACCTAGGGTTGTTACTCTACAAGAAGTTCAGTCTTCTTTTAAACCATCACTACAGTACTACTGTAAAATGTAAATTTCAATATAGCAAAACAACAACTGCCAATTGTCTGCAAAGTCCTCATATGGTTTCTACTCATGTACAACATCTTTCCTCTGTTGATTCCCCTAATTCCCTAGGATTTTTTATAAGAACCTTGGGAGAATCACACACAAAAGTTAGCCATTGTAATTGGAGAGCACAAGGCCTTGTGATAATATGATATGAGCCCCACATTAGAAAAGCCATACTTCTAATATGGACACAAGTCCCATAGCTTGCAATTGGATCCCAACAATTTTTCTTTTTCCTTTTGGGGGTATATTATTACTTATTCCTTCTTTTTTCACAAACTTAACAATTTTAATGCACCCCAGCATTTCACTTACAATGATATAAAGATTTATCCCAAATAAGAAGATATTCGAATTTAAGCACAGAAAAACTGCAAGAAATAATTAGGACACATTAGTAGGATAAGGATAATAGAAATTACTTGTTGGTCCTCCAATGTTGACCACGAGCAATGGCCTTGGAACATGTGCAAACACATCTTGCCATGTAAGAGCAGCACTGCGAAGTGAAGCAAAATCTATTCGGTGTAAGGCTCCCAAGGTCAGAACCTAATGTAAATTATCACATATAAAATCCTCAGCGATAGACAATAGTAACATCAAAGTAATTTCATTATCTCCAGTATAGTAAAATCTAATCGCAATCACATCATATGCAGCACATTACACATACCACATGACTATCTGGAGGCTCACGTGGAGTTATCCAACTTCTAAGAAACTTAGGAACCTGACTCTGTGCTTCTGGAGTCAAAGGATAATAATCATGATGAGGTGTAATCACCATGTCAAACCTATCCAAATGAGACCTTGGATGTTGTATCTGTCCAGATGGGGAAAAAATCAGTTACAAATCAAAACCAATGCTTAAATGAAGCAATGAACGGCACAGAAATATCAAAGTGCAATTAGTCACCACCACATACAGTGCAAATTGAGACCCATTAATAGACAATTTCATATTTCTTAAGAATAAGCACAAATTATTTATTTTCATTGGATAAATTGAGAGTTCAAAACATCTGACTCAGCTTAGCATCTTAAAACTATTTGGCCAAAAACATCAGTTAGACATTAAGACAAATAGTACCATGCAAATAAAATAAAGCAAAAGAAAGACAAGCTCTAGACACGAAAGAGAGTATTGAAGAAGTGAAGAGTCTTCTCGGTCTCCTGTAAGACTCAAGACATGCCATGGCATCATAGAGCTAAACTGGCATAACAGCTGAAAGCTAAAATAGAAAATTGCCATGCCAAAAAAAGTAGGTTGCTAGTTGCTAGTCCTATGTCAGAATGCAACACCAACATTTGTCAACCATATGTTGGATTTTAAGGCATTTAACCTACTTCATTACTTCACCTTGCAGTTTCAAAGCAAAGAAAAAACAACTAAAATACAGCAGTTACGCTTTTAAGTTTTAACAAAGAAGCAAAACCTAGTGTAAGTAAATACATATATACCACAGTTTGAATTGAATCACATTGCTTATCTGAACAAAAACACCACCACTGAGACTTTACAAGATATCACATCGAAGTTGTATGAACAAAATCGACACGAAACGTGAGCGCAAACCTGAACAACAAAAACAAGATCAGGAGCCAAACGTTTTATAGAACTAGCAACGGAGATTGTGTCCCTTCCAGATGCAACCACCAACAACGGTCCCTCCCTGGCAAAACCAAATGAAAATATCAATCACATTCATTATTTCCAACGCATCAAATCAGAATTAAAAGAAGTAGAACATAAATTCACTTTTCGTAAGTCTCGCGAGCCAAATTGACGATGTGTTTGGCATCAGCTTCGAGAATAGCGGACAAGCCGCTAGGGTGCGAAGTGATAGGCAGGTAGTGAGATTTGGAGGAGAAGGCGCGGAACACGGAAAATAGATAGTGAAATTTTTTATGGAGAGAGAGGGGAAGCCATTGGAGCCAAGCGTCGATTCCACCTTTTGGCCTCGTAACGCGCTGCGACAAAGAGAAGAATGAGAATAGAGAGAGAGAGTTGGTTAGAAGATTGAGAATGAAAAAGAAAAACGTACGTATAGGAGGTGGTTGTGGGAGAGGCCAAGGGCGCGGAGCAAACCGATGCTGTGATTCTCGGAGGAGGGGAAGCCGTTGCCGATAACGACGGCGCGGCGGACGATGGTGTGGACGCCGGATTCGAAGATGTCCGGAGTGCCTCTGGGCGGCGTGGGGCTGGGCGGCTCCGGTAGCTGAATTGGCTTCATTGGCATGGTTTGGAATTGGATCAAGGATCCATGGAAGAACAAAGAAAAAGGAGACACGCAAGTTGCAGTTTCGCCCAACTCTCTTCTTCTCGACACTTTCCGGTTTTCACTTTCACCCCGGTTAGTCGTATTTTCGTAACTCGATGGCGCTGATGCAAAACTTTTTGGTACATTTTTAAATGGACCCATCATTTTCAAGAAAAATTAATTAAGAAATAAAATGTGTAAACATGTTTATTAATTATGATAAATTTTTTAATAATAAGTTTTTTTTTTATCAATTTTTAATAATTTTGTATAAATATTTAGAAAAATGTAATTAACAAATAATGTAATTGTATATATCAATATATAATACATTTTTATATACAAACTAAACAAATTACACGATTTGGTGGATGAGATTAAGCTTCAAACTCCACTTTTAACATTTTTACCATGGTTTGATTGTATTTTAAGGATAGAATTGTAAAATTTTAGAAGTAGAAAGCAATAATCTAATAGTAAAATTTTAAAGACATTAAATTTTAAAAATGAGAAGAAAAAGACCTGCCAATTGTGTGTAGTTGGTCTCGCAAAGGTGCCTTGGTGTTGAGGCTACTAATCGAGTGCACTTAGACTCACAAGGGTGCCTCAATGTTTGATGTTGTCAATCAAGTGTACTTAGACTCGTGAGGATGCCTCGATGTTCGAGGTTGCCGAACATGCACTATCAATTCCAAGTAGTTGAATGGTCCATCTTGTATACATGCCCCCAGCCTTAAAAGATTGAGAGAGAGAGAGAGATGAACAAGGTTAACGCAATGTTATTCAAAGGCATATTGGGAACGATGTTGTGTCTTTTACACTTCATGGGGATGGTTACAACAGTTGGGAAGTTTAAAGTCACGTGTAGCTAATCACTAGATCGCTTTTGATCTAATGGTTATCAAAGGGTGTGTTGCTTCATTTATTGTTACTGAGATATTATAAATAAGGTAAGTAATGGAGTTCACTTTGCCATTGTTGTTGCTTCACTTGAGACAGAATGAGTTGCAATTGTGTGTAGACTTTTCAATTCAAGTTCGTTGCTATTTGCTAAAGTTGCATGTTTTATTTCATTAGATATGGTTGAGTTATTTGATCGATCTTCAACTGAAGAGTCTTGGTAGGTGTTCTCATCTGATGTTGGTTTAGGGACAACTTTTTTGATGAAATTGGTGAACCTCCTCTGTTTTGCAAGTTAGTCATTCCAAGATGAAGGTAATAATTACAAAAGAGACTATGATACTTAAGTTGATTTTTATAGATATGAGTGTCTCATATATATAATGCGTGTACATCGATGTGATTTAGGATTTTTTCACTTATGTTGATATTTTTATTAGTTAAGATAAAATCGGTTATTTATCTCTTTATCTTGTCGGTTAGAGAATGATCTAATTTTTAGCCAATGTGACGAGGTGACTCGATGCTGATGTCACATCGTACGTTTGATGTTACCCACTTGGAGTGGAGGGTATAGTAAGTTTGTCTATATTGGGGAACGTGTCCAATGACTCGTCTTCACCAATGAGGTGGATTAGGAGACCGAGGTTATCATCATAGAAGAGGAAGTGGTGATTGGCTCTAATTGAAGGGGTGGTGCATAGGGCGAGCCATCATTCAGCAGGTCAGTCATTGCGCAAGCGTGGTAAAGGTTGAAGAAGGCATTATGGGTCTGTAATCGTGCTAGGATATGAATGGGTTCATGGAAAAGTGACTTCTTACTTCTCTTACTATAACAACTCGTAATCCATCGTCAACATGGTTTCATATACCAACTGTTTGGACTTCAACAAGCAAGAGGACTTGTATTCGATAGGCATCAAGGCCTGTCTAAATGATGGTGGACCGAACCCTTACTACATATTTTTAGGTAAAAGAATACCCAATATGAATTCATTCTAGATGTGCAAGTGCTGGTTCCAATGTTTGAAGATTCATCTATCCTTTGAAGTTATTGAATGGTTCAACCGGTATACAAGTTAATTTGATCTATTATTATGTTTTCGAGAATTAAAATTATTGATAATTTATAATTTCATAGACTATTGTGCTGTTTATAATATGGAAAGAAAAAAAAAAAAAAAAAAAAAAAAAAAGAAAACAAAGTGATGT